AAAAAAGCCTACACACATGCAAAAACATCAGAAATAATTCAGAAGACAGATGAGCCACCAGGGCAATTTTATAAGGCATACCAGGTTTATACTTCATTTAACCCTGAGAACCCAGAAAGCCAGCAAATAATTAACTCCCACCTTTGTTGCCCAATCGGCCCCTGCCTCCAGAGGCAGGAAGGCTTTGCTGGGATGAGCACCACCCAGCTCCTGGAGATTGCTAAGACAACTGGAGGCCCCATCAGGTCCCAGAGGGGCACCAAAAACCAGCTGCCCAGGCTTAGACCAACACAGTGTGCTTATTGTAAAGAGGATGGACACTAGAGAGGTGAATGCCCTAAGTAGAAGGAAAACCAAGGGAAAATGACCAAACATTCACAGGGGGCCCTCAAGGCCTTCCACCCAGAATCCCCAAGGGACCTCCTGGCCATGATGAAATCAGAATAGAATTGACTGAGTTCCATGATCCTAGGCCCCTGGGAGCCTCTGGTCAGTGTCAAAGTGAGGGGCCAGCCAATGACGTTCATGGTGGATACTGGAGCTGAACACTTCATTGTCACTCAGCCCCTGGCTTCCACATCAGGGGAGTCACTGGAAACACCTGAACTCAGTTCTTCTTACAGGCACAAAGCTGCCAGTTAGGGAGACACTTGGTTGCTTTCAAGTTCTTGTATCTGCTTGATTGCCTGATCTCAACGCTGGGAAGGGACCTACTAACTAAATTTAGAGTGCAAATCAGCTTTGACTCATCTGGCTTGGCTCTTTAACCATCAGCTTGGCCAAAATCCTGGCTGTGGCAATGCCCTGGGAGGATGGCAAATGTTCATTCCCGAGGCACCCAGTGAAGATGATGAGATACTTTTTTCACTTGTTAGTGACTTTCCTGCAGTCTGCGCTGAAGGGAGCCCACCAGGGATGGCAATCAACCACCCACCTATAGTGGCCACACTGACACCTCAGGTACAGCCCATGCACCTTTGCCGGTACCCAATAAGCTGAGATACTAGATTGGCCATAAAGAAGCACATCGACCAGCTCAGAGACCAGGATCCTGGTCGAGTGCCAGTCTCCCTGGAATACTCCCGTCCTCCCTGTGAAAGGGGAACCTCTGGTGACTATCGGCCAGTTCAGGACTTGCGAGCTGTGAACGTCACTAGAGTGACCTTATGTCCCACCATACCCAATCCATATACTTTGCTGAGTGTTCTCCCAGAGCCTGAATGGTTCACTTATCTGGATCTCAAGGATGCTTTCTTTTGTCTGCAGCTAGCAGTTGTCAGCCAACCAATATTTGCCTTTAAATAGGAAGATCCAGACACCCAAAAGAAAACTGAGTACACTAGGGTCAGAATGCCTCAGGGCTTCAGGAATTCTCCAACTTTGTTTGGAAAAGTGCTTGCTGCTGACTTGGAAAATTTTCCAGGCCAAGAGCGAGATGCACTCTCCTCCCATATGTCAATGACCTTTTGCTCACTGGAGTGACCTGGGAAAAATGCTAGAAAGGAACTTGAGAGCTGCTCCAGCTTCTGTCCCAGTCTGGGTATGAAGTCTTAGTGAAGAAACCCCAAATATGCTGCACATAAGTGTGATTTTGGGGATTCATTTAGGCTAAAGGACATCGTGCTCTTGGGCACAAATGAAAGCAAGTGGTATATGGATTACCTCAGCTCACAGCCTGGAGCAGCTACATGAATCCTTGGGAGCAGCAGGATTCTGTAGAATTTGGGTCCCAGGTTTTGCTGAAAAGGCTAAGCCACTATATGAACTATTAAAAGACCGGAAGGGAGCCCCCTTTGAACGGGGACACCTTCAAGAGCAGGCTTTCCAGGATCTTAAGCTGA